CTCAGGGAGCACCTGCTGGAGGAGATGCTGGAGGTAATTGACCTTTTCAGTGGTGGCATCCTGGCTATGAAATGCCCCCCTCCATGGGCAGCTGCTTTGATGTCAAATGCTTCTTTGTTTTCCATGGCCTTTCAATCTACAGTGGTACCTCGGGTTACATACGCTTCAGGTTACATACGCTTCAGGTTACAGGCTCCGCTAACCCAGAAATAGTACCTCAGGTTAAGAACTTTGCTTCAGGATGAGAACAGAAATCGTGCTCCGGCGGTGCGGCAGCAGCAGGAGGCCCCATTAGCTAAAGTGGTGCTTCAGGTTAAGAACAGTTTCAGGTTAAGAACAGACCTCCAGAACGAATTAAATACTTAACCCGAGGTACCACTGTATTCCATTTCTGATTATGACTATTCTGGCACTGCTACATGGTGCTGCTTTTGTATGTTTTGCTATTCATTTGTTTTATTTACAAATCTCTTACCTCCTCGTAAGTTTCCCTGAGAACGTGGCTATAGAGTGTCATAGAAATATTTTAAATAAAATATTTAATAATCCTAGCTCCACATCAAAAAAATTGGCCAGTAAACAGATCAGATTTCATGGAGCGTACTAGAAATGGATCTTTTATTTGTCTGGTATATCTACAGAAATATTTATTTCAGAAGATCTGCATTCTGAGCACTCTGACAGTAATTACAGTATTAGAATACACAATGTATTGTGATTTATGGACCTATTCACAATGACTAGAGATGAAACCTGAAAGCCAGATGTTTATATAATGTTGCCACTTAACAGTACAAGTTTTCGAATTTTAATAAATAGGCATTGTGACATTTATAGATTTGTGTCAAATTGTTTTTTTATTTTATTCTTCTGGAAGAAAATAACATAGCTGCTGCACATGAGAAAATTGCAGAGTGCAAAAAGCAGATTCTTCAGGCAAAAAGAATACGAAAAAATCGCCAAGGTAACTATTTATTTTGCAGTTAGTAATTGCTAGTTTTATATGAAGGGGCATGTAACATTAGTGATTTGATGCATATGACAAGCCTTCTCTAACTTGCCATGATTATTTTCACTTGTTATGAAAGATCTCGTTTAGAAATAAATATTGCCTATGCTGTCAATCACTCCTTAGACTTGAACTTAAAACATAAAGTGCCTGCCCTTTCATTGCATTTCCTTGTGACATGAGTGGAAATAATGTCTTACTCGAAGTGTAGTTTCCCACAAATCATGATCGCAATCCATGTTTCAATCATGTGTTTGTAATTCTGGTTTGCTGGAAATCTGTACTAATAGATGGGTTAAAACATGTCTCCCCTATGTGAGAGAGGGTGGTGTGGATCCTGTGATTGTAAGCTAGAGGAATGGGTGAAAGGAGTAGAGACATACCCATCCCTCTGGTGAATGAGTGTTATGAACTAGGGAGATTTCTTTTCAGAAGGGAGACTGGTAAAGAAGTGGGCAAGCCAGTATCACATCTGAAGGCAGCCCTGTTCAGGGAAGTTTTTAATGTCTGACAAGTTATTATTTGTTTATATTTTGCTGGAAGCCGCCCAGAGTGGCTGGGGAAACCCAGCCAGATGGTCATGGTGTAAACAATAAAATTATCATCATCATCATCACATGGGCAAACATTGAGATGTTTGGTATGGAGTTAAAGTTGAGGCTGTGCATATGCCAAGCAACAGAGCATTCATTCACCTGTCATCCCAGTTATATTGTTTTAATTATATTTCTTATGCTTTTAATTGTTTCTCGTCTGAAAGTTTGAGAATGGGCCAAGTTATAAACAGAAATTTAAAAATTAGTGAAATTACACTCTATAACTTTGTGAAACTGAAATAAAGTCAGATATGATGCTTATAATCTTTCATTCTTTCAGAATATGATGCTTTGGCTAAAGTAATACAGCATCATCCGGATAGGCATGAAACACTCAAGTAAGTATGGGTCTAACACCTGAAATGAAACTGTGATAATACTTTATCAGAGCATCTGAAAGCTAGCAGTCACTGAAATTAAAACAATATGGTGGTATTATTTGAAAGTGCACCACAGAAACTCGCACAAAATGTTCACCTGTACAGAATATGCCTAGATTTAGTAAGTAATTTGTAATTACAGTCACTGTGATCATGCAGAGTGGCATAGTCCAGTTAACACTGCATTTGGGTGTTCATTCAAGGCAGCAGAATTAGACTGTACTTTTTCTATAAAGGTGATGCTTCTGGGATTCCTCCATGCCTGTTGGACATCTTCCCTGGCACAATTCTGTGTGCTGGTTTGAATCATTCTAAGTGACTTGGAATCTAGGTAGCTTCTCCCACACAAATGTGCCCTTGTAGTATTTCTAGGCTGCCAACACCACAAGCAGAGGTGGAGCTGATGGTAGGAGATAGGTCCATCTCAGTTGTAGTGCCCTTCAGAATGTGGTTCCCAAAGTCATGCCTGGTGAGGGTTTGCTTTCTTCCCAGTGTCTTTTTACTTCCCGGGCGTCTTAAAAATGACTCCTCTATCTTACATCGTTTTGCACTGTTTTAAGTGCACGTGCTTTCGTATACTTGTTATTATTTGTGTAAGCTGCTCTGGGAACCACTAGGCAGTTGCAGAGCATAATATAAATGATGAAAAACTTCAAGTTGAAAGTTGAGTTATAAATGGAATTATTAATTAATAAATAGTGCAAAACAAAGATAAGGTGTCTTCAATGGCAGTATGCTAAATCTCTTCTCAGGCAGTTAGAAGCTCTGGGAAAAGAACTTCAGCATCTCTCCCATATCAAAGAAAATGTAGAAGACAAAGTAAGTTTTGCTGATTTTTTTCTTCTTCTTTTACAATGAAATACTGCATGGGTAATTCCGTACCGACCAGTGTAACATCTATAAGCTTTTTTTTACAAAATATTTTGTGTTTTCGCTAATATTTTAGCCCTGCCCACCTGTCAAATTTGGCCTGCAAGGCAGATCCTGATAAGAATCTGACCTTTGGGGTTTCCCTATGCCTGTTCTAGATAAGCCAACCTATTCAGCCTAGCTAGGGAGAGCCAATCAGGACTGGTCTACCTCCTCCATGGATGTGAAGGGAAGCTGGTAGAAGCTTTTACATGCTTCAAGAAATGGCGGGGGGGGGGGGGCTAGTAGAGAAATACCAATTTTGTACTTTTCTAAACCATAACATAGGCTACAAGAAATGTTGCATTTAAAATACATTGCAGGTAATATATTTTCTTCATGCTAAGAACCTTGAAGAAGAAAATAATGTTAAAACATAGATTTTCATTTGCCGTGGAGGGGGGAAAGTATGTGTTTATGTGACAAACGTAATGCACTCAGTAAGTGTTGTTGTCCTAATTTCCTTGGATTTTGTTCCTAACATAAAATTTCCTGTCAATGTACCAAACGAGCAAGCGAAAACTATCAATACAGTAAAGGGCCATTAACCTATTGTCTGTTTTCTTGGAAAGGTCTTTAACTGAACTTTAGAGGGGGGGGGAATAGAGTACTGTAAATCTGAGTCATAGGGCATGCCATGCTTCTGGTTGCTTTACTCATGTGTAAAATGCCATTTTGCAAAATGAAACTTTGGCAAATTATTTTTAGAATTAGATAGAACATGTTAACTATATGAAAATGAAAATTGGGTCTGTAGGTTGACATTTTTGTGGCTTCACCCACATATGTTTACTTAGATGATGATTCATTGAAGCAGTACAGAGAGAATCCAAAAGAAATATTTCATATGCTTCAGATTTTGTTTTTGTTTTCTTTTAGCTGGAGTTGAGGCGAAAGCAGTTCCATGTACTTCTGAGCACCATCCATGAACTTCAGCAAACACTGGAAAGTAAGTGAGTTCAGTATATAAAGGCATGACTTACTTTCCTTACTGCATGGGTTCAGGTTTATTTGTTGCTCCTTCCCTCATACACTCAGCTTGCCAAATTCCTGTCCTCCCCTAAATTTCATCATAAGCTTCAAAATGTCCACTTACCTTTTCAGATTCAACTCAGTAGCACTCAAAATAATAGGGCATGACTTTTTCTATGTTCATTTTAAAGTGAATGTTTTTAAACAACAAGCACAATATTTATTTCAGATGATGAGAAGCTTTCAGAAGCAGAAGATGCCTCAGATACACCAATGGTATCTGCAGATAAACAATAGACAGACCCTGGATATAGCTCCAAAGCCTGGAAGCCAATGGATACTTTTTTTTTCTTTTGGTCTCCTGAGAAACTAGATTGTATTTCCATTGGAATGCATTTGACTTAATGTTTGAAATGTCTTTTTAATACAATAAATACTTGGTATTACATACTTAGTCTTAGATTCACATTGCATTTGTATTCTGGAATTAAAATACTCCTTTAGGCTTTGAGCTCTTTTCTGTCTTTTTCTTATACAGTTTTTAAAAACCTCCATATTAATGTTAACACATCGGTACAGCTATTTACAAACAACAAAAAGAAGAGGAAGGAAAACACATAAAATATAATACAGGAGCATGACCTTAGAGTGGTCACTTATTTGATGTCACCTTAGCTCGCATTGCTATAAATTTAGATATAACATAGAAAAAAGGAGATAAGTTTGAACAGTATTGCGATATTTCCAAAAACCCGTGAACAGGAATAATATCTCTCTAATGTCGTCATTTTGAGAGTTACATTTCAAGTAAGAGGTCAAGTTTTTTGAGGAACAGTAAGGGACACAGGTGGCGCTGTGGGTTAAACCACAGACCCTAGGACTTCCCTATCAGAAGGTTGGCGGTTTGAATCCCCGCGACGGGGTGAGCTCCCGTTGCTCAGTCCCTGCTCCTGCCAACCTAGCAGTTCGAAAGCACATCAAACTGCAAGTAGATAAATAGGTACCGCTCCAGCGGGAAGGTAAACGGCGTTTCCGTGCGCTGCCCTGGTTCGCCAGAAGTGGCTTAGTCATGCTGGCCACATGACCCGGAAGCTGTACGCCGGCTCCCTCAGCCAATAAAGCGAGATGAGCGCCGCAACCCCAGAGTCGGTCACGACTGGACCTAATGGTCAGGGGTCTCTTTACCTTTATCTTATATCCCATATTATTTTAATCCATTCTGCAATGTCAGGTGATTCTGTTTGATTTCCAGTGTTGAGTAATGTATGTTCTAGTCACCACAAAAACCAACAGGTCACACTTAAAGCATAACTCGTAAATATATCTTGCATGTGTTGCCGTTTGAGGTGTTAGCAATAAACAAAGGAACACTCTTGCCTTCTGAGCTCAGGTTATTGAAGCTGTGAAATAGAGAACCTTTGGACCACAACAGCGAGGCCAAGAGCCTTGTTGTCTGGGCAGCCCAGGACCTCCATACACTCTGCCCAGGCTTGCACCCCAGGGAGGTCACTTCAATTTGACTTTCCCCCCGGAGGCGCACTCCATTGGCTCTTGAGAAATATGGAGGCCAACAAAAGGAAGAAATAGCAAAAACATGAATTGCTGCTGGCTTTAGCAGTAGCATCAAATCTTAAATCTGCTTTGACCTTACTGAGACAGTTAATCAGCTGTTAGAAGCGTCCCAGCAAATGGTTCACTTTCAGCTTGAGTAATATTTTCAAAAGAAAGAAAAAGAAGGATATTAGCAACAGCATTTACACGGAAAGCATGTGTTTTTCCATTTATGCTTCTTTGTGGTTCTTAAGGAAACCCTTTGGAACTGCTTAGAAGACTGCAGGATCCTGTCTCCCAAAGACTCGCACTGCTGCAGCTCTGCACTTCTCAGAGCCAATAGCTGGATGGATTTTTCACTGATGTTATCCAAGAGATTATCCACCTGTTGAGAAACGAGAATAAAAAATGGTGAAGTATAACAAGATAAAACAAATTTGTTTGAACTGAAAGAAAAATGAAGGGTTTCAGTCACTTGTAAAGATAGAAAACTGACTATACTACACTATGTTATCAGCGATACAAAATTTGCCCATAGAACTGCAATGCGTGCAACACAACAGGCTGTGGACTTAATGTACATGCATTTTCCTACATGTGCAGTACATAGACAGAAGTACATCCCTCCATCAACTCAGGAGCTTCAACTTGAGAAAAGAGCTGAGCGCTGAACTAAAATAAAAGATTTAAAATAAGAATTTATCACATGGGGGAGTCCAAAGAAGAAAAGTCACAATAAGAGCGTCTCATAACCCCCATAATCTGGAGCAACCATGGCTGGTTCCAGGATGAATCGACAGTGAAGTTTGGTCAACAATTCTTAAGTGCAGCTCATGGGCACTCTAAAATGAGTTGGGCTCACTTTTAATTAATGAGCGATACACAAACCCACTGAAAGAAATGGGTTTGCTCTGAGAGTGACTAATATAGTGTATCATTCATACTGTTCATAGTTTGCTGGTAGGCAGAAGGAAGAATTGGAGTCGGAAAAATAAAGGTCTATGGTGGAATTTAGATACATAAAAAACACTCTGAAAATGCTTTTTTTAACGTTTTGAAAAATATTTTGAATTTGCCATAGCTCACCATCGCCATCTAGTGTCACAGTTGTATAATGCCCCTTACAACACACTTAAAAACGTTTTATTTGCAGCTGTATAGCCAAGTCCTATGTTGCACCGTATAATTAAACAATGCTTTGATTCAAGATACCTGCATTTGAAGCTTCCCTAGTGTTATGTCTGAATGGTACCATACTGGTGGCATACTTTTCTTCTTCTTTTTGAACACTGAGAAATTTTTCTTTTTTGCCAAATAGGAAACCTGTTTTTTGGGGGGTGGGAAACGAAACATTCAGACAAGAACAGAATTATGTGTTCCGCATGAATTGGTGCTTTCCATTCTCTTCCATGAGAAAGGAACATCCCATACCTATGTAGACAATTTGCATTGTGAACACGGAAGATTTCCAGCCTCATAATAAATGGGGAAAGTTCATACAGGGAACTCCCAAGTCTGTTTGTCTCTATCTTAAATTTGCACCCCTTGTTTCCGCCACATGGTGCCCAGTTGGCTAATACTAGTACAGTATCATAAAATGCAATGAAACAAAAAAATTAAAATGCAGATAAAAATAAAAACAGTTAAAATTAATTTAACACACTTATGCATTGGCTTATAGGCTACAGGCTGTCAAAAATGTATCTTGATATGTTCAATAAGTAGGGTAGAAATAGCTGTATATGTGCAGTGCAATCCCATTTAAAACTTTGTGGATGACTTCTCACTGTGAAAGCTCCTCTACCTTTATAGTGCATTCCTGAAAGACAGGCATAGGCAAACCTGGCCCTCCAGATGTTTTGGGAGTAAAACTCCCATCATCCCTGACCACTGGTCCTGTTAGCTAGGGATGATGGGAGTTGTAGTCCCAAAACATCTGGAGGGCCGAGTTTGCCTATGCCTGCTATAAGGTATATGTCTATAAGAGCTATTACACTTGTTAGCTTTACAAAAATGGAAACAACATGTTTAAACAATGGAAGTTAAGCAACATAAGTTCCCTGGGCCCTCTGGTTGGTTGCTGTTAGCAATGGAGTACTGGAGAATATATACCATTTCTCTGATCTAGCAAGGCAATTTTGTGTTGAATTTTCAGGGTATGCTGCACACAAGCTTCCCAAACCAAGATGAATCTGTTTTCATTTATTCTTTTTCTCCTTCTTTTTTTAAGATTCATCAGGCACAGTTGTCTTTTGCCATATTTATGAACAAATAAAAAGAGGAACAAACTTAATTTCGGGTCTGACCAGCAGAGGGCTTCATCAACCAAACAAAATTTGAATCGGACAAGAAGTCCTGTAGTTTTCCCCCCTGAAGAAACCAGCTGGTCAAAATTGGGAAACAGCGCTGGAAAAAAAAGAGAATTCCTCCTTTGGCAGGAAGTGGTCTTTGAATTGGGTTTTAGAAACTGAAAGCCTGTTTCCCCGCAAGCTTGCTCTTTAATCTAGCCTGCCTAGTTTATTAACCTTTTCTCTCACAGGTCAAGTAGTTATATTATGGGCTGCATCCTAATCCACAAGACATCTGCATTATATTAACCTTTATGCTTCTGCATTTAACAAAACAGTTGCACAACGCAGATAAGATCAAGCACTCTAGAAGCAATGTCTCCTTTAATTTTGCAATATCCTTTTTTTTTAATGGAGTGATCAGGGCTGTACATAGGTGATCAAAGGAGCAGTAGGTGTGGATGCTAGCACAGAAAATTCGTTTTGAAAGGGGAGAAAGAGCCATTGCGAAGGGACAGCTAAATAGCTCACAAAAATATTGTTATTGTTAAAATTTGTATGCCGCCCTTCATCTGCAGATCTCAGGATGGTTCACAACATAAATAGCTAGTTTTACACATGTTATGTTTGAATTTATTCAGGATTGCCCCATTTCAGCAGCTTACTTGACTAGAGCTCCCTCTCCTCTCCAGCTGTGCCAGTACTTAAACTGAGTGACTTAAAAACTTTGTGCAAATGTACATAAATGCCATATTTTAAAGTGAGCATTTATTTCCAAATATGCGCACTGAGTTGGCATGTATATGCGTGTGTAACATGAATAACATAGAAGCTCTAGGGTCTCAGCTGATACATAGGTAAAACACCTGACTCGCTCTATAAAGAAACGAGCCAGTTGCCATTTAATAAATGCAACAAATTTAGTCTGATTCCCAGCAATCATCCATTACCTTTCGGATCCCAGGTGGAAGAGACACCACTGAGATGCGGCGCATCATCCGTCTTGCTTGCACAACTGTGTTTGTCCCGTGCATGCTTTGTGCATGTTCTTCCACAATGTTTACATCCAGCTGAATTGATGCTTCAGAGAGGAAGGAAGAGGAAAGAAAGGATACACAGCGAGTCAAGCCGAAATGGCGGCAGTTTCATTACCAATAAAAGATCTGTTCATTCTAGATTAGGTGACCTGGAATTAATATGACTGTTCCTTGGGCCAGGAGCAGATCACAAAAGCCCCCTATGCAGATGCAGTACATAAATACACAATGCCTTTTCCCCTTCCCCATGCACAAAAGGTAAAGGTAAAGAGACCCCTGACCATTAGGTCTAGTCGTGGCCGACTCTGGGGTTGCGGCGCTCATCTCGCTTTATTGGCCGAGGGAGCTGGCATACAGCTTCCGGGTCATGTGGCCAGCATGACTAAGCCACTTCTGGCGAACCAGAGCAGCGCACGGAAACACCGTTTACCTTCCCGCCGGAGCGGTACCTATTTAACTACTTGCATTTTGACGTGCTTTCGAACTGCTTGGTTGGCAGGAGCAGGGACCGAGCAAGGGGAGCTCACCCCGTCGCGGGGATTCGAACCGCCGACCTTCTGATCGGCAAGTCCTAGACTCTGTGGTTTAACCCACAGCGCCACTCGCGTCCTTTCCCCATGCACTACATTATACTTAAAGGTAAAATGATCCCCTGTCAATTAAGTCCAGTCACGAACGACTGGGGTTGTGACACTCATCTCACTTTACAGGCCATGGATTTTATGTGTTGTGCTTAGGCCACAATATAGGGACTACATTATATATTTTAAAAGGCACCCTTGAAGCATGCTATGTGTGCCCCGTTTGCCTTAATTTAAATGATGCGCACAAAGTGGTCGTTGGCAAAGCGAGTTAAGTTACCGTTCCGTAAAAGCTTCTTCCTTTTCAGTGTTGGAAATACTTTGGGAGAAGGTAAGGCCCGAATAGCCCTTGGAAAGGCATGATACTTAGGGGGAACAGAAGTCGTCTTAGACACCACTGGTTTTGGAGAGCCGTCTTCACCATGGAGCTTGGCCTTCTTCCTTGCCCTTTGATAGAAAGGGAATAACTTCCTCATTGTTGCCCTAAACTGTTTCATAAGGCTCTTTTTCTTGCCCACGTGGAACTCAAGAGTTTCAGAGCTGTCAGACAGCTGTCCTTGAGGCATCCGCCTAGCCTCCTCTCTCACCAAATGAATAGGCATGACTCTTTGCCATCTGAAAATAAAGATAATGGATAATTACTGACTCTCCCAGTGAGTAAGCCGCCCACAGTCCTGGTTTATGCAGATGGATCGCTGTATTGTTGTAGACATACCGAAACAAAACTTTGCACTGACACGTGAGGCTGCATTTCTGAAATTCAAAATAGGGTTTTTAGGATTTCGTACCATTCCAATTTTTGTTTATAAAAGAGCACCTTTCTAACAAAGTAAAAAGAAAAGTACAGTCATACTCCGTGTTGCGTTTGTTTCAGGTTGAGCATTTTCAGGTTGCGTCCCGCGGTGACCCAGAAGTACCGGAAAGGGTTACTTCTGGGTTTTGCCGCTCGCGCATGCGCAGACGCTCAAAATGAACAGATCCCATTTGCAAGGGATCAGAGGTACCACTGTACAAACTTCAACCTTAACTTTTGTAAATGAATTCCCAGTGCATAATGGGTTAGTAATAAGGTTAGCGATTGAACTCAGGATCTTGGATGCCTTCCAGCTGAGTGGTTCTATGGTTGTAAGGTTGGAGTCTAGACATTAGAAGGACTGCTAAAGTGGTCCAACATGCTAGACAGGTCTGGTTTGGCCAAGTACAGGTGATTTGTTGCTGTAGGACCTAATGGTTGGAGACCTCCTAGGAGAAGAAAGAGCCTTGTCAGGGTGGGGGGTCACCTTCCCCCTCCACCCTCCCAGCTGTGGATTGTGCTAATTCTGTGTATGCAGTAAAGCTAACAGAAGGACAGAGGGCTGAGTTGTCTTCTGTAAGAATATTATGGTGCTGCTGGCATTTCCCTGAGAAATCTGATGGGAGCTTTGGCACCTCTGTAGGAGTTCGGCTGTATCTTCTTCTGTGCTCAACTTCCAAAGCTCGCAGCTGGGAAATAACTTTCTTAGGACCAACCCAAAAGCCACCCCTCAAAAAGGAAGAACTTGAAAACTTGACATGTTTTGATGACCCTATGGTTGCTCCTAATTACCCAATTTTGTAGAGTTTTCTTCTTATGGCTCAACATGAGTAACTTTGCTTCTCTCTCTCTCTGTCTCTCTCTATATGCAAATAAAGCAGATATCACAAAATGCCAGCAAGCCTCCAGAGACCTCTTTTCAAGAAAACAGAATTCAACAGGCATTCGTAGCACCTGGCTCTCCAGAATTTTCGCCAAGCAGAGAACTGTGGCATATGTAGCTATAGAGCTGCCTTCCCCAACAGGATGCCCTCCAGATGCTTTGGACTACAACTCCATCAGCCCCAGCCAGCATGTCTGTACAATGCCAAAGCTAATAGAAGCACAGCATTATGGGAGTTGTAGTCCAAAATGTCTGCAGGTTGGGGCAGGCTGCTATAGACATCTCTCTGTGCATGTCCAAGGTTGTTGTTGTTTAGTACATTCACCGGAAATACAAAAATTAGTACCACCATAAAAGAGTTAAAAACAGAGATCGGAGTACCAGGCACAACCCTAAAAGGCAGAGGATCAGCCTGTTAAAACAACTCAAGCCAATAGACTAGATGTCTCCTGGAGCAAGAATACTGTATTCATTCATTTCACTTCATATATTTATATAGTGCTTAATACTAAGACAGTCCCAGTTTACTAAACACCCTATCCCATGTATGTATTCTGTACAACGAACAATGTCATTGAGAAACAACAGTGCAAACCAAAGAATAGAGGCTTCGCACACGCCATAAACATCCCACCCCAAAGAATCCTAGGAACTCTAGTTTGCTAAGGGTGCTGGGAATTGTAGCTCTGTGAGAGCAACAGTTCCCAGATTTCGGGGAGAGGAAATGTGCTCTAAATGTGCTTTGCTCGTATGGTGTGTATACAGCCAAAATCCCCACAAAGCAAAAAGCATAGCTGTGCCTTTTGAAAACGTCTTCTGAGTCAGGGAGCCCTTGAACAGATGTGTGACTGAAATTCCTGGGGAATTTCCACAACTTGTTTAAGGTGCAAGTGAAGAATTAGTGTGGCTCACCTCTTTCTCTCTTTCCCTTTCACTTGGATGGCTTTTCCCTGAGCTTCATGCATCTTTTCACTAGGAGGTCTGCGCATGCAGCTCCGAAGAGGACCAGGAAAGCACCTTGGGTTGCGGCGCATAGCTCTTTCCTTCCCAGGCTGAGTAGATTCCTAATACGGGACCTTTATGTGCATTCAGGGCTCGGCGCTTCCTTGAAACACCTTTCCTTGCCTTGTAGAGATTTGGGCAGGTTGTGTCACGAAACGGCTCTACTTATTGAGAACCACACGGCCTAATAAATTTGTCAAAGCCCTGGGAAATTCCACAATACACAGCTCCTCATGGCGTGGTAAATTCCTCCTCAGAGACGTGACACATTTTTGGACTTAGCACAAGAGGATGGAGTGAAGTCTATTTTATCCTCACTGACAAGGGTGTGGATTCTCCTCAAAGGCTGCCATCTTCCACCTTGCAACTCCTGGGTTTTCAAGATGCCCCTTTGTTTTGATGGCCGTGAGACAGGAGTTGCAAATGTGATTCCCTCCAGAAGTTGTGGACTATACAACTCCTATCAGTCCCAGCAAGCATGGTCAGTAGGGATGGAGGGAGCTGTAGTCCACAACACAGGAGTCTAGGAAACTGGGGGTTAGCTCAGTCGGTAGAGCAAGAGACTCTCAATCTCAGGGCTGTGGGTTCAAGCCCCATGTTGGGCAAAAAAAAGTTTCTTGCACTGCAGAGGGTTGGACTAGATGTGTTTGTGGGAGGGGGGTTATTTGTTTGTTATGTATTTTGAGTTCTTTTTTTGTATCTTTATGTTGTAAACCACCCTGTGATCTTCAGATGAAGAGTATAGTAGTAGTAGTAGTAGTAATAATAATAATAATAATAATAATAATAATAATAATAATAATAGATTCAGGTAGGTAGTTGTGGTCTGATGCAGTAGAATATATATATATATATATATATATATATATATATATATATATATATATATGAATGAATTGTCCAGGAGCACCTTAGAGGCCAACTAAGTTTGTTATTGGTATGAGCTTTCGTGTGTATGCACACTTCTTCAGATACACTGAAACAGAAGTCACCAGAGCTTTATATATAGTGTGAGAGGGTGGGGAGGGGTATTACTCAGAAGGGTGGTGGGAATGGGTGATTGACTGATAGGTGTGGTAAACCTGTTAATGGCTGCAGTTGGTCTTACAGGAAAAAAGCAAGGAATGAGATGGCCAAAAATAGCTTTATCATGTATAATGAGATAAGAATCCAATGTCTCTCTTCAGACCAGGTCTCTCTGTGGTTTTAAGTTTGGTAATAAGTTGTAATTCAGCAACTTCTCTTTCTAGTCTATTTCTGAAATTCTTTTGTAATATGACAGCTACTTTGAGATCTTGTATAGAACGCCCTGGGATATAATAATAATAATAATTCCTGTTTTAAGATGCCATTTAGGAATTATTGCCACCTTTCACTCACCCTTTCCTTCTCCTTGTACCTAAAATACTGATGGCCACAGAAAGAGAATTTTGCTGTGGTAGGGAAGAGATATGTTCAACAGTAGCTGCAGCCTTCAGCTATCAATGAAAATACAGTGGTATCTCGGGTTACAGACTCCGCTAACCCAGAAATAGTACATTGGGTTAAGAACTTTGCTTCAGGATGAGAACAGAAATTGCGCGGTGGCAGCGTGGTGGCAGCAGGAGGCCCCATTAGCTAAAGTGGTGTCTCAGGTTAAGAACAGTTTCACGTTAAGAATGGACCTCCGGAATGAATTAAGTTCTTAACCTGAGGTACCTCCTTGAAGCAAGGAGTCTTTGGTGGCATTCACTGCTTTCTGTGTGCACACAGGAAGTCTGTTTCGGTGAATGAATCCAAGTCTGCCCAAGAGGACTTGGAGATGGATTTTACCTGAATGCAAGTGAAGACACCTGTCAGTCACCCCCCCCCCAGGATATTCCCTTCCCCTTTCCACTGCATTTTCAACCCACCAACCCCCCCCCCCCGTCTCCAAGTCAATTAGCATTCCATAGCATGGCTACTGAGCAATCTCAATCTTCATTGGTCTGTTTTTGGTGTTCTCCCCTTAGCTTTCCTCCCCAAAAAGGTCCCCCCTCCCATTTCTCTTAATGTTGGAGTTTCCCCAAAATGGCTAGTCCCTCCCTCTTGCATGCAGATGGTGCCATTCTGGCTACATAAAGCTTTGGCGCTCAAACCTGAACATTGGAAATGGAGGCTGTAGCTATGGGGGGGGGGTTACTAGCTGGGGTGGTTTTTTCCTCCAGGTGAACCCTCCAGTGGGGCGCCATTGAGGCTCCCAGCCTGTGTGCGTATGTACGTGAATGCGTGTGGAGGGAGTGCCAAACTGGGTCTTTGACCCGGGTAAAATAAAGCCTAGTTTCGCCTCTGTGAGGGAATGATTTGTGATCCCAAATGGTCAATTGTTTGGTGAACTAGTGATGAAGGTCCTATCTCCACTATAGTCACATGGCTTTTAATACCACATTAACTGGCAGTTTTTCTACCAAAGCCTGAGTTTTGCTGAAAATTCTGAGTAAATGTGGTGTGTGGCCCGTCTCTTTACGGGACAAGCCTGGTCTGTAATGGAAACTTCTTTCCCCTCCCTGGGTGTGGTTCATTCCCCAGCTGAGTGGGAACTAGTTGGAATTTTAGACTTTCCTGTGCAGCTAGTATGCCGAGTTGTCCATCTGTTGTTTACCAATGAATACATCTACAGTGGTACCTTGGGTTAAGTACTTAATTCGTTCCGGAGGTCCGTTCTTAACCTGAAACTGTTCTTAACCTGAAGCACCACTTTAGCTAATGGGGTCTCTTGCTGCCGCTGCGCCGCTGCTGCACGATTTCTGTTCTCATCCTGAAGTAAAGTTCTTAACCTGAAGTACTATTTCTGGGTTAGGGTTAAAGTATGTAACCTGAAGCATATGTAACCCGAGGTAACCACTATATTAAAATACTTTAAAATATTAATACTTTGAAATATTAAAAGAACTTTGCTTCAGGATGAGAACAGAAATCGCCCGGTGGTGGCACAGCAGCAGCAGCAGGAGGCTCCATTAGTAAAGTGGTACCTCAGGTTATGAACAGTTTCAGGTTAAGAACAGACCTCCAGAACGAATTAAGTTCTTAACCCGAGGTACCACTGTATTAGGGCAGACGGGTTGCAAGGCCTTCCTTACACAGTGAGCACCCTTCCTACACCCAAGGGATACCATCACAGCTCCCTTTACAGGACTAAAATCCCCAGGGTTCCCTGGGCAGAGGAAATGGCTGCCTTACCTGTTTATGTGTGGATTATGCCCAAAGTCAACTGTAGTTCAGCAGAAGGCATTGCAGTAGCGCTTTTTGAACAGCAGAGGACAGCAGAGGATCACAGTGTCCTCTTACGATGCCTTGTTTTCTGATGAAATTTGCCTGTATTTTCTTAGCGGCTCTTAATTGGCAAAAGGGTAAATTGCGCATGTTTGCTATGGTCTTTTCCATTTCATATATTCAGAAGTTTAAAATGTATGTCTAGAGTTGCATAATATGTTGGTCCTTTACAGTGCTTTGATACCTGTTCCAGAGGATCTTGAAAACACACACCTGGAGCATATCTTTCCGGGAATGTCAAAATACATGCCATTTCATGTTGTGGAATTTCTTCCACTCTTAGACTCTGCATCGCAAGGGGTTGGACCTCAGGGTGCCTTCCAACCCTTCATTTTTATGATTCTGTGATTCCTTATGTCTGGGTGCTGGTGGCGGGTGGGAATTACATAAGAACTGTAACTTACTTGAGGAACATAATAAGCCGAGGTAGACCATTGGTCCATCTAGCTTTCTGTCTTCTCTGACTGGCAGAAGTCCTTTACCTCACCTGCTTTCTAATCCTAAAAGATGCCAGAGCCCAGGCCTGCATGGAGCCTCTGTCACATGTCCTTCAATGAACCCCTGCTCTTTGATTCTAAGTATGTAGGTATGTATATCTGCATAATTGGGGCTGCTCACTTTGCTCAGAGAAAACCACCTGAAATTTTTGTCAAATGAATTCTGAGCAATTTTGCTTGTTTTCCAGAAGTGGCTTTTATGATAGAATATCTGCAACTAGCAAAATTGACTGAAAAAAATTAGAGGAGTGTCAAACCAGAAGGTATATAGAGAATGGAAAATATTTAAAGAATGCTTAAAAATGTACTGTACGAACAATAAGATACTTGCAGAAATAGAGTGATACTGGTAACCAAGAATTAATAGTGAACTATATATCTATATACAAAACAAAATAATTTAAATCTGTGCAAGGAATACAGATAAGTAGTATAATGAGAATTATTGGAAGTTATATATTTTAATCGTCATGTAAGTGTAATATATTGTATTTGTTGTTGTTTGTTTTTTTATCTTTTCTTATTTCATTCTTTCTATTCATTTGTATCGTTTTCTGCTTTATATGTTATGTAATTCATGTATATTTGTCTATGTGAAAATTAATAAAGATTTTCTAAAAAACAAAACAAAAACCAGAAGTGACTTTTACGCAGACCCCCTCTAGTGTCCCGGTTTTTTCGAGACGTCGCAAATTGGGAGAAGCCACCCTGGCTTCCATTCCCAATCCCCAATGTCCTGATTTCGTTTCCCCACATTCATCGTGCCAGAGCAAGGGAGGAAAAGATGGGTGTTTTGGGCGAGGAAGGAATCGTCAGCAGAGAGGCGGCGAGGGATGGGCTGGGGTGCCCTGAACTGCCCTTCCAAAATGTTGGACGGTATGTTTTACGTCATGCGACAGATCATATAGAATGTGGAAATCATCAGGTAAGGAAATGCTGTGAAAACAGAATGATGTGCCACTGTTATTTCCTCCCAGAAGGAGAGTGCCTCTCACACAGGGGGGGACAACTTTAATAAAATACAGCGCTACCTCAGTTTTCAAATGTAATCCATTCTGGAAGACCGTTTGACTTCCGAAGCGTTCGAAAACTGAAGCGTTTACTTCTGGAAGCATTTACTTAAGGAAAACTCAATACAGAAGCCATGTGGCACGTTGGACTTCTGAAAAGCATCCAAAAACTGAAGCAGTTACTTCCGGGTTTCGGCATTCAAAAACTGAAATGTCCGACTTCCGAGATGTTTGAAAACCAAGATCCCACTGTATATGCACAATCAATTACATGATTGTGCACACATCATTTGGATGGTGATGGCCACCAACTTTGGGGGGTCCCACC